ATGAATCCTAACTTACTACCGCTACTACTGTATGTTTAATTTGCTCCTCTTTGATAATATGTTTGACCCTGCATGTCTAGTATGCCTGTCCATCCCTTGCTATTTATATGTTGACAAGCAAAGTCATGATTCTTTCTTGATTGATCTTGATTTCCTCAATGTTACGACTGATTGCAAAGGGTTCCCTTATAAACCCTAATTTTTACTCGCTTTTGTCTAAATTGATTGATTCCCTTCCTTTCATTATTGTGATATTTTTACCTTGAATCCTTTCCCAAAATTAAGCATATTTTGTAGTTAGACTTAAATCTTTACCTCCATACTTTTACTGTCCCTTATATGGCAAGAATCAATTTGTCTCAAACTGATTTCTTTCCTTAGTTAGCCCTGTTAATATCCGTTTGAGCAGTAATCCCTTGATTAAAGGGAAGCACTTGCGTTAATTGATTCTGATTGTGGTTATTTCCATGTCTGAGTTGAAACTTCACTTGTTACCTTATTCTTCGCTCGTTTTCAAAACTATAAATACCCTACCCTCTCTTCTTTCAAGAACAGACGAAAAATTGAGTTCAGAACAAACACTTACTGATATTAGGCTAAGTCTAGGTGACTTGGCGATTGTTTATGCTCCCGCTTGATTATGTTTCAATGTCATAATATGGTTAAATGATGAAAAATGGGCTCTAATTGTGAATTTTATACATTGCAGGATGGTTAGCCTAGATGATGCCTTAAAGTGGCGATTGAAGCTACATTGGAGCAAGAAAGACCCCTTAGAGTTGTGTGCGCGCAAAGACTAGACAAAGAATTGAAGAAAAATGGCCTGAAGTAGCGTGAAGTCTAGCGCGTTCGCGCTAGTCCAGAAGCAGGAGGCAGAATGTCAGGAGACTAATGCGAACTTTAGCGCGAACATTAGCGCGTTCGCGCTAGTCCCAGTTCCGGAAAAGGGCTGTTAGGGGCAAAATTGGAAACCTGGAGGAAAATTCACTTAACCTATATAATGTCAAGCTCGCCCAAGGAGTAAAATATCAAGGTTTTCATAGTTTAGGGCAAGAAACATAGAGGCAAGAGGCAAGGAGGAAAATCCAACATCAAGCTCTTCTTTTCTTCTTCTTGTTTTTACATTTTGAATGAAATTAAATATTATTGAGATGAACACTGCTATGAGTAGCTAAAGCCCATTGTTCTAGGGTCATGGGTGAAACATGATTGTTGTTGTTTAGTGTTTAATTTAACAGAGTTGGTTTAATCATATTGGGTTGTTTGTTTAATTCTGTTCTCAATTATTTTGCTGAGTAGCTAACAGTGAAATACTATCTACGAATCTAGAGTTGAACTCGAAAGTGGGAACTTTGGATTGCATATAGAATTAAGTAGAGCAAGTTCTTGAACCTGGGCATCGGGGGACGGATTCGCAATTAGGATAGACATATACCTAATTGCCTTGCTTGGTTGAGATACAGGAACTGTAAACGCATTCTTGTTAATCTTAATTCCATAGACATATAGGCATCGAGTTAATTTTAATAGGCGAGTAAGGAGTCGAAAGATCCTTACTAGCATTATCAACCCTGTCAATCAAAAATCCAGATACATCAATTAGTTATTTTAAGCCAAGAACGCAACATGACTGTTACCTAACCCGAGACCCTGGAATATTCTTCCCTATTGATTGTTATTCGAAATTGTTGCGTGTTTAGTTGATTATTCTAGTTATTTTAGTAATTGATATTTTTAGGTACTAAATTAGAGAAAACCATATTTTGTGAGAAATCTCTTGGATCAATAAGTTAATTGAGTTTGAATCAGTCAAAAGTTAATCACAAGTCTTCGTGGGAACGATACTCTACTCACTACTTTATTACTTGACGATCACGTGCACTTGCGTGAGTGTTTTGATCGCAACAAGTTTTTGGCGCCGTTGCCGGGGACATAGAAATTAGCTCCTTGACTGAGTTAAGCTTTTATTGATTATTTGTTCAAGCATTAATTTTTCGTTTACCTGGTTTGTGTGAACACAGGCTTTTCTTCTGATTGCGGAGGAGCCGAAGCGCAAACAATCTACTTCCCCTTGATCCTGAAATTGAAAGAACACTTCACAGAGTGAGGAGGGAAGTAGACGTATGAACCAGAATTGAAGGAGATTTGGACATAGTAGTCCAACCACAGCCAATAGAGATGGCAGGGAATGTGGAACGCGCGGTGATTGAAGCCGCAAGGCCCAGTCTTGCTAATATGACTCAGGCTATTGTGAAGCCTGATATCACAGGGCACTTTGAACTCAAACAATACATGGTGCAGCTGATCCAGTCCACAGGGCAATATGTGCGTCTATCTCATGAAGATCCGCAGAGGCATATTCAAAATTTCTTGGAAATTACGGACACTTACAATTATTCGAATGTGTCTAAGGACTATGTCAGGCTGACACTTTTCCCCTTTTCACTTCTTGGGGACGCTAAGGAGTGGTTGCAGAAGGAGCCCGCAAACTCAATCCGCACTTGGGATGATCTAGCAAGGAAATTCTTAATCATGTTTTTCCCCACTAAGAAAACAAAGGTATTGAGGAGTCAAATTCTTGGGTTCGAACAACGAGATGGCGAGACACTTCTTTAAGCATTAAAAAGGTACAAGAAGATGCTCAGAGACTATCCACATCATTGCCAAACTGACGAGGTATTGGGTCACACTTTCGTGGATGGGTTAGATGATGCCTCAAAGATGAATCTTGATTCAGCTTGTGGGGGTAGTTGCATGGCCAAACCGTATAGTGAAATCCAAATCTTGCTAAATAACTTCACTGCTAATGATCATAATTGGCAAGGTGAGGGTGATTTGCGAAAGGCAATTAAGCAAAAATTAGCTGGAGTACTTGAGCTCGACGACTTGACAGCCATGAGAGCCGATATTGCAAAGTTGGCTAATCAGATGACTAGGATGATAATGCAGGAACCACAACCAATGCAACATGTACAACAAATGGCTATTTGCTGCGAATTATGTGGTGACAATCATATGAGCGACATGTGCCCTACGAATCCTGAATCCATATACTATGTGGGGCAGAAGAACAGAGGTCCACCAAATCAGCATGCACAATATGGGAATTCTTACAATTCAAATTGGAGGAATCGTCCCAACTTCTCATGGGGAGGAAATTAGCAGAATCAGAATAACTATAGACCCCAAGGGAATTTCAATCCACCTCAGAAGCCACCCCAACAAATGAAAGAGAGTACAAATGATTTGATAAAGAAGTTGTTGATTGACAATCAGCAGCTCAGAACCGATTTCAGAAATCTTCAAAGGCAGATGGGGCAGTTGGCAATGAATCAGAACACCAGACCTGCAGGCGCTCTCCCCAGAGATACAGAAAAGAATCCTCAAGTGAATGCAGTTACACTCAGAAATGGAAGAGAGCTGGAGGAAGTGCCAAAGAAAAGAAAAGACAAAGCCACACCCGAGGGGGGGTTGATACCGAAGGAAACTCATAAATCGAAGAATACTGATGCAATTCCAGAGCCAGTGGAGGCTACAAGGCCACCACCACCTTTCCCCCAGAGATTGCAGAAAAAAAATGATGATCGTATGTTCAGCAAATTTCTCTCCATGTTGAGCCAGATTCAATTAAATATTCCACTTGTTGATGTACTGCGTGAAACTCCAAAGTATGCTAAGTACATAAAGGATGTAGTGGCTCACAAGAAAAGATTGAATGAATTTGAGACAGTGGCACTTACTGAGGAGTGCACCTCAAGGGTCGAGAACAAGCTTCCTCAAAAGCTTAAGGATCCTGGCAGTTTCACCATTCCGGTGCGCATTGGTAATATTGATGTAGGTCGTGCTCTTTGCGATTTGGGGGCGAGCATAAATCTGATGCCCTTATCTTTGTTCAAGCAATTGGGCATGGGAGCTCCAAGGCCAACTACTGTGATATTGCAGCTGGCTGATAGATCGATAACACACCCCGAGGGTATGATTGATGATGTATTGCTGCAAATTGGAAAATTTATCTTCCCAACTGACTTCATTATCCTACATTATGAGGCTAACGAACTGGTCCCAATCATATTGGGGCGACCTCTCTTGGCTACTAGTGATGCAATCATTAAAGTGAGAGAGGGAAAAATTATTTTGAGGGTGGATGATGAGGAAGCAGTCTTTAATGTGTACAAAGCAATCCAACTCCCCCGACATTATGAGGAGCTCTCAATGATATCCGTTGTTGAGGTTGATGAGCAAATTCTTGACACGAGTGTATATCTAGAGGACTCTCTAGAGAAAGCACTTATGTTGTTCAATAGCATGGGAAACGATGAGGAGGTTGAGGAGATGATGCACATCCTGGATACGTCTTGTGCTTACATGCATGGGATACGCCCCTTTGAGCCCTTGAATAGGCCAGATGGGCCACCCCCCAAACCATCAATTGAGGAGGCACCAAAATTGGAGCTCAAACCGTTGCCCCCTCACCTTCAATATGCTTATTTGGGTGACTCTGACACCTTACCTGTTATTGTTTATTCTGAATTGTCTAAATTGCAGGAAGAGAAGCTGTTGAGGGTGCTACGTGAGCACAAGCGAGCACTTGGGTGGACAATGTCTGACATCAAAGGCATTAGTCCAGCTTTTTGCATTTATAAAATCCTCATGGAGGATGTACATAAGCCCAGTGTAGAGCAACAACGCCGACTCAATCTAATCATGAAAGAAGTGGTAAGAAAAGAAGTGATTAAGTGGCTTGACGCAGGTATTGTATTTCCAATCTCAAATAGCAAATGGGTAAGCCCCGTTCAATGTGTACCTAAGAAGGGGGGGATGACTGTGGTTGTTAATGAAAATAATGATTTGATTCCCACGAGAACTGTCACTGGGTGGAGGATTTGTATAGATTACCGAAAATTGAATAATGCCACCCGAAAGGACCACTTCCCTCTCCCCATTTATTGACCAAATGCTTGATATATTAGCTGGCCAAGAATACTACTATTTCCTAGATGGTTACTCCGAGTATAATCAGATTGCTATAGCCCCAAAGGACCAAGAGAAAACCACATTTACGTGTCCATATGGCACGTATGCGTTCAAGAGAATGCCCTTTGGTCTTTGCAATGCACCTGCGACTTTTCAAAGGTGTATGATGGCTATTTTTACTGATATGGTTGAAAGATTTGTAGAAGTGTTCATGGATGATTTTTCTGTGTTTGGGTGCTCTTTCGATAACTGCTTAATGAATCTCGATAAAGTACTTGCTAGATGTGAAGAGACAAACCTGGTGTTAAACTGGGAAAAGTGCCACTTCATGGTACGTGAAGGTATATTATTGGGGCACCAGGTGTCTAAAAATGGTTTACAGGTGGAAAAAGCAAAGGTGGAAGCGATTGAAAAATTGCCCCCACCAACGTCCGTCAAAGGCATTCGTAGTTTCTTGGGCCATGCAGGTTTTTATCATCGTTTCATTAAAGATTTTTCGAAAATTTCCTCTCCCTTGTGCAGGTTGCTTGAGAAAGATATCTCCTTCAAGTTCGATGATGCTTGTCTGAAAGAATTTGAGGATCTGAAGGGAAGGCTAGTGACTGCACCAATTATCATTGCCCCAGATTGGGAGCAACCCTTTGAGTTGATGTGTGATGCGAGTGACATAGCTATTGGAGCTGTTTTGGGGCAAAGGAGAAATAAAATCTTTCACTCCATCTACTGTGCGAGCAAAACTCTGAATCCAGCCCAGATAAATTACACAGT